CCTCTTGAATATTACATTTCTCAGAGGGGAATGGCTTTAAATCACTATCAGTTTCTAAGTCATAAGTATTAAACCTGAATCTGCTTATCTTCTCAGCTCTGTGTCCAGAATAGTCCCCAGGAGGCACGGAACATGTTGCTTCAGAACCCTCAACTGGCTTATGCTTTGCTGCAAGCACAGGTAGTGATGAGAATTGTGGATCCGGAAATTGCCCTGGTGAGTGCTTCTGGTTCTTTTATGGAAAGGTAGGGTAAACCTTGAGTGGGATAGGAACTACCTGATTGCTTTGTTAAACAGACAGCTCATAGGTTTGTCTTTTCACTTTTTAGAAAATTCTGCATCGCCAGACAAATATCCCAACGCTGATTGCAGGCAACCCTCAGCCAGTCCATGGTGCTGGGCCTGGCTCAGGATCCAATGTGTCAATGAACCAGCAGAATCCTCAGGCCCCTCAGGCCCAGTCTTTGGTAGGGCTTTATCCCTTAATATTTTTTTTATCAGTCTTAGAATGTTATTTTCTTTTTAGGAGAATATATTGAAAGAAGAATGGTCAGGAACCAGAGATGATAATTTCAATTTCCAGGCATAAAAGCAATTTCCAGGTTGCAGAGCACATGGCATCTGAATGAATATAGATTCGATTCCAAGTTTGTAAAACAAAGAGACCCTTCCTGTATGCCCTTTTCTTATAAGCTAACTTTGTGTGTATGTGCATGCCTGGCACTGTGGTTGGCACTTTGTTATTCCATACGCATTATCTCATTTAATCCTCAAAGCAACTGTATGAGGTTGGCACTCTTATTATCTCCATTCTTACCAATGAAAAAAGTAAAGCTTGCTTTCAAAGCATGACACAAAACCCTAAAGCCACAACAAATTGATACATTTGAAAACTAAAAAATTTCCATGTAAAGAAAAAGAAATAAATATCAAAGACATGACAAATTGGGAAAAAGTGTTTGCCACACATGTGAGGACAACAGACTAATAAAGAGCCCATAGTCATGCACAGGAATGTTTATTGCCATATTGTAGTGAAAAATTGGAAATGTCCTAAATGTACATCAATGGAAGAATGGAGAGAATGTGTGGTGCATTCATCCAGTGAAATACTCTACAACAATTAAATAAACTACACATATCAACATGAATGACTTTGAAAAACAAAATTCCATACAGTAGCTAAGATGAACTATGTTACATGACATCAACACAAATAACTGCAAAACAATACCATATGGATGTGAAACTAAGTGAATTCCCGAAATGCAGGATATACGTATCTGCATAAATCCCCAAAATATGTTGAGTGAGTTGCAAAAGAATATATTGAGTATGTAATGATTCATATAAAATTTTAAAACATTAAAAAGAGTCTTAGTGGTCAGCTAAGGAGAAGAGAGCACGGGATGCAGTTGGGAAAGACCATACACGAGATTGGTTTATTTTATTATTTATTTCCTAAGCTGGGTGGCTATCTTCTATATGATTTGTATATCTGTAATTTTTCATAATAAACTTTAAAAGGCCTCCTATAAATTAGTAAGAAAATTACCAATAACCCAGTAGAAAAAATGGGAAACGGACATAAATAGTTCACAAAAGTAGAAATGTAAATATATGAAAATGTATTAAACCTCAAAATAAGATAATGTAATAAATTATCATTAATATACATAATGTTACAAAATAAGATAATGTAAATAGAAACTACAATAAGCTACCATTTTTCATCTCTCAGATTGGCAGAGATACAGGGCAGGGGCCAGCAAACATTTTTCTGTAGATCAAATGGTAAATATTTTTGGCTTTGCAGGCCACAGGATCTGCCACAGCTACTCTGCCATGGTAATATGAAATCAACCATAGGCAATATGTAAACAAGTGTGTGTGGTTGTGTTGCAATACAAGTTTATTTATAAAATCAGGTGGTGAGCCTGATTTGGCCCATGAGCCATAGTTTGCCAACCCCTGCTCTAAATAAATAAATACATTTTCAGAGATAGAAAAAAACCAAGGCCCAGAGAGGTTAGCTGGTCCAAAACTTAACACAATTATAAGTGGTAAATCTAGTTCTGAGCCTGGTATTATCTGACCTCATAGCCAGTTTTCTCTTAACTACCTTCTTATACTGCTCTTCTGTTTCTTTTTTAGAGTTTTGTGTTCCTTAAACATGTATGCAATTTTTTTAAATATAACTTGGCTTTTATTCTTTATTTATTGAGCTCTTTCTATTTCAAGGGACTACTCAGTTTTTTGGGGAATGCACAGATGAAAAGATGACATTCTCTTTCCCTCAAAGAGTTTTAATGTAGCATTAAAAAAAAATTTACATTCCCCCAAAACCAGAATTATATCTAAGGACAGGAATGAGAAAACATTGGTTAAATTAAAAAAATAATAATAATTTTAAAAATGTGGACTACCAGCAGTTGTTTATTTATTTTTTTTTTTTTAAGAGTCCCAGTCTCCTTTTTTCTTTCTTGGCTTTAGGGCATTTTTTTTTTTAAACTGTTATTGCCAGGCCCCAATCATGAAGTTAACAATAGGTGCTATGTGCTGTCTTGCCACACAGATAAGCCTTGTCAATCTTTGCATTGAGAATATGTTCCATCTTAACCGTGTTCCATATAACCAGGTTCATGATGTGTATTGCAACTTGCTTCTGTGGAGTTCAAAGTGTGTGACAAATCTAATGCTGCATAAGACATGCTATACAAAAAAGATGTTTGGTAGTATATTTCGGGCTGTTCATTTGAAGAGGACTTTTAAGGTCATAGACTTAGTATATTGAGTATCCACAGAGGCATGTACATACTGTGTTCTTTTTCTTGGTCAGGGTGGAATGCATGTCAATGGCGCACCTCCTCTGATGCAAGCTTCTATACAGGGTGGAGTTCCAGCACCAGGGCAATTACCAGCATCTGTCACAGGACCTGGCCCTGGTTCCTTAGCTCCTGGAGGTAAGTTTCATTTAGTCTTCACCATTTCAGTACTTGCTAAAGTTTTGTCATAGGCACTGTTTCAGTACAGCCAAATATGATAATGGGATCCTTAAGTAAAATTAATACACAGCTAGAAAGCATATATCCTAGGTGGAGGAAATAGAGTTCTTATGTTAAATCCTATATGTCTAATTATAAGAAGAGGGAGAGGGACAATAAAGCGAAAGAACATAGTAAAACTTCCAAGTTAACGAGGGGGAAAATGGAATGAGTGGAAACTAAATCAAGCCAGCAAAAATAGAGGAAAGGAAAGAAGGAAGGGACAATGTAAAATAAGTAATAATAAGTGTAGAGTAAAATGGAAGGAATAAACTAATGTTATTCTGCTAAATATGAATGAACTATTAGATTAAGTTCAAAAGCTCATGAAGAAAACAGACAAAAAAATACAAGGCCACATGTGTTATATCATGTTAAACTGACATAAAATTGTATTTTAACAAACATAATTAGACCAAACAACAAAAGGAAAAAAAGAGAAATTTAAAAGCTACATACATTTATTGAAAGTGTACAGATAGGCAATTAATAAGAGTATTGCTCATATACTTGTTCCTTGTTCAACAATTGTAACTAAGAAGATTGAGTGAAACAATGATTCCCCATATGAAACATCTGTATAAACCCATAATGTATTCTCAATATTTCAAGTTTTTTTATGCAACAAACTTGCTTCTTATTAATTTATTCTAGAGTAGATTAGATTACTCAGGATTTTTGTATATCTACTTTATAATAGAGTTACACTTAGATTTAAATTATCTTTCTTTTTTTTTTTCTTTTTTTTTTCTTTTTTGGAGATGGAGTTTCGCTCTTGTTGCCCAGGCTGGAGTGCAGTGGCGTGATCTCAGCTCACCGCAACCTCCGCCTCCCGGGTTCAAGCAGTTCTCCTGCCTCGACCTCCCGAGTAGCTGGGATTACAGGCACGCGCCACCACGCCCGGTTAATTTTGTAGTTTCTAGATTAGCACTTCAATTAGCATTTTGCTAATGGACAAACAAGTAAGAACACTGAGGAATTAAATAATAGGATCAATAAACTTAATATATAGAGGGAGCCTTATATCTTTTGACTAGAAAATGTACTCCCCACCTTCACTAATCAAGGAACAGTATTAAAAAAAAATTTAAAGTACTTACCCATAAAATTAACAAAGTCAAAGATAGGAAGATTTTACAGAGCATATTCTTTGTTTATAAGCCAATAAGATTAGAAATAAATAATTAAAAGCCGACTGAAAAAAAACTTTACTTGTAAAATTAAGGAACATACTCTAATCCTTGAATTAAAGAGGAAATAAAAAGAAATGTATAAATTAAAGGACAAAATGCATGTATATTTCATACAGAAAAAGTATGAGAAACAGTGAAGACAGTGCTTAAAGTAAAATGAATATCCTTAAATGCCTATATTAAAAAATAAAGAAACTAAGTACTAGTTGTAAAGAATTTTAAAAAGATAATAAACCAGAGGATACCAAGAAGAGGGAATTAATAAAAGTTGAAAGTAAGCATAAAGGAAATTCAAATAATTAAATTTTCAAGTGATATTTTTGTGAGTTTATAGCATTTATACTTCGGAAGTTATTAAAACTTCAAATCTCACTAAGATTTTTTAGTTAAAGTGCTCTTTGAGGCTGAGCACAGTGGCTCATGCCTGTAATCCAAGCACTTTGGGTGGTTGAGGCAGGAGGATCACTTAAGCCCAGGAGTTAGAGGCCAGCCTGGGCAACATAGTGAGACCTCGTTTCTGGGGGGAAAAAAAAAAAGCTCTGACAGTGAAGAAAAGAGGGGAAAGAAAGAACCTAGTAGAAAAATGGGCAAAGAAAAATGAGTAGGCACTTCATAGAAGAACACATCCAAATTGCCAACAAAAACAAAGTCATTTACAGTCTGGGTTACAAATTAAATAACAGTGAGACTTAAATCTATCAGACTAGCAAAAGTTTCAAAGAGAGACGACACTTAATGTTGGTAGAAAAAAATGATACTCATATATGGCTGGTGGAAATGTGGAGTTTTTCAGCCTTTTGAGAAAGTAATCTAACATTAAAAATTCATATACATTTTGACCAGAGAATTCCACCCTGGGAATCTAGCTCATATAAATAAAAATGCCATTATGTGATAATATATAATATTAGAAAGTATGCCCACAATGCCTTCGGCCATTTCTTTCCTTGAATCCTAAATTTTTGTATTGTTTTGGTGATTGGTCTAGATAGAGTGAATACAATGTTAAGTCTAGAAGAGAGCTTTGAAATCATTTAGACCAGGCTTTCATTTGCATGAATGTTCATGAGACAGTTCGACTAGTGGCTCTCAAACTTTGGTATGTGTTAGAATCACCTGAAGGGCTTATAAAACAAAGACTCCTGGTCCCCACCCCCAGACTCTAATTCAGTAGGTTAAGGTGGGGCTCCGGGGCTCCGAGAATTTGTAATTCTAACGAATTCCCTGATGGTGCTGAGGCTGCTAGTTCAGACAACTCATTTTCTTTACAGATGAAGAAGCCTGGGAATGTATTGATTTTATCAAATCATTTATTTAGAATTAAAATTGCTTAGTAGTAAGGTTAGGGCTAGCACTCAGTACTTTGGCTTCTTAATTCATAGCCCTTTGGTAGTTGGCATATTAAATGGAATAGGGGAATGTGACATGTACTTGCTATTTGAGGGAAGTATTAATGAACAGATAATAGATCAGCTTGTCTTTTCTCCCCACTCACACCATATATTGCTCCTTTGAGGAAAAGAGAATTGCGGCTCTATGGAAAGGACCAGACAAGGACTTGTGGTACATGATTATTCCTTGTATAGCAGTTATCATTCCCCAGCTCGTTAGACCAGTGGTTCTCAGCCCCGTTAGACACAGTGACCCCTTTTCATAACTGATATTTTACAATGACTCTGCTTTGCTGAAATGAAATGCACAAAGGATATAACCTATGTAACATGATTTCAAAAAATCAGTATGATATCCTAATTACAAAGAAATAAAAGGACATTAATTTTTAATAGACAAATTTAATAAGTGATTAGGCACCACTACACCAGAAAACAAATTTAATAATCAGATGTTTATACCTATTTCATGAAAGTAAAAACTGAAAATGCAGAAAAGATACAGGCATATTGTTTTGGCAACTCAAATACCACAAGGACTTTTGACATCAGCTATGTGATTTTCTGAAATGGTAAAATCTCACCTTAAAGTTATTAAACTGCAGTACTCATAATTTACTCAGTAATTGCATTTCTGGAAAATTCAGTGTATGTGTATATAAATAAACAGTACAAGGAACCTTTGTGTTTACAAATACAACAGACTTAGGTTCTGAGTTCAGAAGACTGTAAGTTAGTTTTCATTTGTGTGAATGTTCATGAGACATTTGAAAGTTCAGGACACAGGGTAATTCTTGATTTTGTGGAACTTACACATTGCAGAACATCTAGTATCCCTGGCACTTTCTCATTCAAAACTAGCCGTGGCCCCACAAATCTTGTCACAACCAAAACAGTATACCCACACAATTACAAAATATTCTAGAAATGGTACTGCCTCCCATGAGAGGAGGTCCATGGGTAAGTGACATTGTTTTCCTGTATTATAGAAGAGCTTCCTGCCAAGAGTTTGGTAACCAATGAGATTAATTATTCTTATTGAACTCACTATTCTGTCACTGAAACATAAAGTATACGTTGTAAATATACTAACACACCCCATCTTCTATCTCATTGCATTGTTGAATATCTTTTTTTGTAGGTTTCTGCTTGTGGAGCAGAATGAAGAAATTTATAAACTCAGCCACTGTTCTAATTGGTGTTTTTTCTTGTCTGCCCTTTTTCTTCTAGGAGGAATGCAGACTCAGGTTGGAATGCCAGGAACTGGACCAGTGTCCATGGAACGGGGACAAGGTAAATAAATATTAATGTCTGACTAATGTGAATTGGTCTTGGAAGTGTTCCACATCCAAGTGTCTAATACAGCAGCCACTAACCACCCATGGCTATTTCAATATTAGGTTAACTAAAATTAAGTAAAATTTAAAACTTAGTTCCTCAGTCACAATAGCCACATTCCAAGTACTCAATGGCCACATGTGACCAGTGGATACCACACAGGACATTGCAGATACAGAACATTTCTATCATTGTAAAAAGATCTCTTGGACAGTGCTGGTCTAGACTTTCCACCTGGTGATTCAGAGCCCAGCTCTACAAGAATTGATAATGAAGCAAGTGGATCCTTTGTTTCCTGATAGTCTAATAATTCCACTGACATGTTCTCTCTGCCTGTATGGATATCTGTTGACTGAGTAAGGAATTTTAATAATGAGCATGTAACTGTGTGGCTGAGTATGTAGAAGACTAGATTTAAACTCTAGAGAAAACTGGGAGGGGATCATAGGTCTGTAAAGCCTACTTTATAAACATCTGTTGTACTATGGCTGTACTGCTGTCTACAACAGGAATTGCCGCTCCAAAATCTCCACGTTATTTCTTCATGTTAGTGGAATTTGAAGGACAAGAAAGTGTAGTAGTTCAGTTGGAAACAATGTTAGGAGGAGAGATGGTGAGAAAAGAGAAGGAACTGAGTGCATACTATATGCCAAGCACTTTAATTTTCATAAATAATCTTGTGAGTTAGGTGGCAGCACCTTAGTTTTACAGGCAAAGAGTTGGATGCTCAGAATAAGTTACTTACTCAAGGGGACAGGGTAAGTAAATATTAATGTATGAGTAATTGGACTGGATTTGATGCTCTTATTCTCTCTTTCAACTAGTAAGTGGCAGAGCTAAGATTCAGAAGTCTTTTTTTTTTTTTTTTTTTGAGACGGAGTTTCGCTCTTGTTACCCAGGCTGGAGTGCAATGGCGCGACCTCGGCTCACCGCAACCTCCGCCTCCTGGGTTCAGGCAATTCTCCTGCCTCAGCCTCCTGAGTAGCTGGGATTACAGGCATGCGCCACCATGCCCAGCTAATTTTTTGTATTTGTAGTAGAGACGGGGTTTCACCATGTTGACCAGGATGGTCTCGATCTCTTGACCTTGTGATCCACCCGCCTCGGCCTCCCAAAGTGCTGGGATTACAGGCTTGAGCCACCGCGCCCGGCAGAAGTCTTTGAGTCTAAAATCTGTCCTCTTTTTGTCACTCCACACTGCCTCTGTTAACTTCCAAATATATTATTCAGTGTCTTCTACTCTTTTTCCTGGGGAATAAGATGATGGGAAAGACTGCTTTGGACAAGCATAGAAAAGCTTAAGGTTTTTTCCTCTGTAGCATATGGCCTATAAGTGGAACCCATTTAAAAAGCAAAATATTGGCCAGGCACAGTGGCTTATGCCTGTAATCCCAGCACTTTGGGAGGCCAAGGTGGGTGGATCGCTTGAGCTCAGAGGTTTGAGACCAGCCTGGGCAAGATGGCAAAACCCCATCTCTATAAAAAATACAAAAACTAGATGGGCAATGGTGGTGTGTACTTGTGGTCCCAGCTACTTGGGAGGCTGAAGTGGAAGGATCAATTGAACCCAACAGGTTGAGGCTGCAGTGAGCCATAATCACACGACTGCTCTCTAGCCTGGGTGACACAGCAAGACGCTGTCTCAAAAAAATACACACACACACACATAAATATACAAGCCTGTGGTTTGTACCGTGGGGTTGGTTGCTGAAGTGACAGAATTTTTTCTTTTAGATGTCTGACAACAGGACAAACTCCCTGGCCAAATATCTCATATTTTCTCTAAGCATCCCGTGCTTTCGTGCTATTGTATGCCCCCCTATCCCCACCCCACCACTGTCAGTAGATCATGTATGTTCTTCAGAGTTTTTGCAGTAATGAGAAGGTATTAGGGTTTCAGTCATACTTCTACCTGTCATAGGCCCAGCACTCAATCCGTCAGGTTTTAGCTGTTTAATGCATACTTGCACAAGACATCTTCCTTCCTGTTATAGTAATCTTCACCTTTCTGTCAGAAATTTACAAAGGGAAATGACTCATGTTTTGAGGGTATTTCCAGGATGTCTTCATGAAGAGACAAAGTAAGATGAGCTTCCTTTTATAGTTTCCTTTAGTACCCAGCAGAGGAAGCAAGAGTCTTTTCATGTGTGCCTAGTTTGTCTTACTTTTCCTGGAATCCATGCTGCTTTTGCACATTTGTAATGGTGAAAGGAGACAAAGATGTTTCTGAAGATACTTCTTGCTACCCCACCATGTTTGTTTAGTGTTGGTGCTCATGTCATCTCATTAGTCTTTGCTGTTGTCATGATGTTTATTATCAAAGTCTTGCTGTGACAGTATTTCTTGTGGAGTGATACTCTCTTTCATCATGTAAAGTTTGTTGGTGACATTTCCCCATCTGAACTTTGGTGACAGCAGAAATTTTTGTGCTTTAAAATGTAACAAAAATAGAATTGCTGTACTTCACTTATGGCTGCTTCAGAATGAATCTTGCCTTCCAGATACGGTGTAGTTTCTTTCATGTTTGTCTTCTGAAACTATGTTTATGTTCTTTGCATAGCTAGAAGATTCAAAACTTTTTATATATTTTTTTTTCTCTAATGCTATCATAAGGAGACCTAAGTGAAAACATAGTAGCAGTGGGGAAAATGGAAATGTCTGCTTATTCTTGCCTAGATCAAACCAGTGCCCCATGGGATTCCCTCTCAGAAGCTATCTGGTCAAAATGGAACTGTTTCAGAGACCCAAGGGAGCTAGTGTAGTTTAAGGAGATTTTGTAGCCTGGAGCAAGCCAATGAACTCTTGGCTTTTTAACTTATGTATGTAAATCTGAGTCTCTGTGTGTATGTTTCTGCATGTGTGTGCAAGCTATTTTAAGTGTCTGTTCTTTCTCCTTTTGAACTTACTGCTTACCTAGGAACCCTACAGCACTCGCCCGTGGGACCCGCCGGGCCTGCATCAATTGAGCGAGTTCAAGGTACCCATTGTATCTGTGGGTTTCCTTTTGCTTGTGGTGTTCAGGGTGGGACGCTGAGAGGAAAAGAGCTGCTTGGCAGTCATCCTCGCGTTCAGAACCCAAAAGGGTAGTGTTTTTGGGTTTTTGTTTTTAATTTTTTTTCTGTTGAGGCCACAAGCCTAAGATTGACCTCTTCACACAGGGCAGAGAACATGGATGATATGGGCATCTGTCCGAGGCTGTACTCCCTCCCTACTGGTGTCAGGAGGCCTGGATGGAATAGCAGTCTGTAAGGAGACAGCGGGTTCTTGCAGAGCCATGGCAGTGTTCACATATGCCAAGACTCTACCTCTCTTTTGTGACTCTGGTCCTTGAACTAAGATTGATTAGAAGGAAAACCAGGAGCATAAGTTTCTTCAGGTCGCAGTGCTAGTCCTTGGCAGGTTGCTCCCCAGTTGGCTCTTTATATAATTCCATCCATACCTCTGACATGGCACAGATTCTGCCTACACCCTGCTTCTGTTCTTGAGCTGCAAGAGGATTCTGCTGTGGTGAGGTTTCACCCACTCTAAGGTGTCTGAATTATGTTGTCAGTGGTATATAGAGTCATTTCTTGTTTTCTTATGTGTCTTTCACAGCAGTAACTCCCTGTTTGTTTCCCTGTCAGTGCCGATGCAAGACCCCAGAGCAGCTATGCAGCGGGGATCCTTGCCTGCCAACGTCCCAACCCCTCGAGGCTTATTAGGAGATGCTCCAAATGATCCACGAGGAGGCACTTTACTTTCTGTAACTGGAGAGGTAGAGCCTAGGTAAGCACTAACATAGAAGGAAACAGTTGAAGAAATCAGAATTGTCCCTCCTTCCCTGAGAACAGTGTTTCTGTACCAGTTGTACCTGTTTGCCTACTTCAGAAGATAGGTAAATATTCGTGGCCACTGTCCAAGGCTAAGCACTTCTCCCAAAGCAGAACTATGTAGTTGAGTATGTCATTTCGAGCTACTGTATTTTCAGAAATTGGAAATTTTAGTATACATACTTGAACAGGGAAACTTGTAGTAGTAGAAATATTAATAATAGCAGTAATAGGCCAAGTGTGGTGGCTTATGTCTGTAATCCCAGTACTTTGGGAGGCCAAGGCGGGTGGATCACCTGAGGTCAGGAGTTCAAGACCTGCCTGGTCAACGTGGCAAAATCCCGTCTCTACTAAAAATAAAAAAATTAGCCAGGTGTGGTGGCGCACTCCTGTAATTCCAGCTACTCAGGAAGCTGAGGCAGGAGAATCACTTGAATAGGTAGAGGTTGCAGTAAGCTGAGATCATGCCACTGCACTCCAGCCTGGGTGACAAGAGTGAAACTCTGTCTCAAAAATAAATAAATAAATATAATAGCAATAGTAATAATTGACATTAATGGGGAATCATGCCTCTCACTCTGCTCTGAGTACTTTACTTACTATCTTATTAAATCTTAAAGACCCTGTGAGATGGATACCATTATTAGTACCATTTTACAGATGAAACTGATGTGTGGAAAAGTTAAATATGTCCAATATTACACAGCTAATAAGTGATAGAACCGAGATTTGAACCCATACCGTCTGAATCCAGAGCTTATATTCTTATGCATTGTACTGCAAACTCATACATAAAATGAATATTCATTGATTCCTCCCTAATTATGAACCAAATACGAAATTCTAGAATACGTGGATTTATATCTCTGTAGCTTTTCTTCCATCTATTTGGTGTTATTTTCTTGTTAGTATTCATGGACTGTTTACATCAGTTCTTTGTTGGATGTTTACTTACTGATCTTCTGGTTGATACTTTGTTGTTTTTCTTGTTCTATTTTAAAATAAAACGTTTTTCTCCATCTCCAGAGGTTACTTGGGACCACCTCATCAGGGTCCACCCATGCACCATGTTCCTGGCCATGAGAGCCGAGGACCACCCCCACATGAGCTGAGGGCAGGGCCATTACCTGAGCCCAGACCTCTAATGGCAGAACCAAGAGGACCCATGTTAGATCAGAGGGGTCCACCCTTGGATGGCAGAGGTAAGCGGAGACCACATTGCAAATGTGATAATGAACCCTGCTGTCTTACACTCTAATCTGGGATAAAGAATACTGGAGCAGTAGGTTTGCAAGCATCTTTAAGGTTTATCCACAAATCTGAGAAACTCGGGAGGAAATAATAGTCTCATATATTAATAGCTGAGGGGGCAAATGTGACTAGATTTCTGTCTTTCTTGGATTAATCATCATTCTTGCAGTACATGCAAGTAGCTGCACAATGGTTTTCTTATAATTTTCTTTTAGGTGGAAGGGATCCCCGAGGAATAGATGCACGAGGGATGGAAGCCCGAGCCATGGAGGCAAGAGGGTTAGATGCCAGAGGATTGGAGGCCCGTGCAATGGAGGCCCGTGCAATGGAAGCTCGTGCGATGGAGGCCCGAGCGATGGAGGCCCGTGCAATGGAAGTCCGAGGGATGGAGGCCAGAGGCATGGATACCAGAGGCCCAGTGCCTGGCCCTAGAGGACCTATACCTAGTGGAATGCAGGGTCCCAGTCCAATTAACATGGGGGCAGTTGTCCCCCAGGGATCCAGACAGGTATGTGTAACACTGACTTCTGGCATCCAAGTGAAATCTTGATCTCTTCAGGAATTGATTATTAAGCCTGATTATTACTGCCTTCTGACTTGGGCTGTTTCTCGGCTTGTAATAGAGGGAAGACTCGGATCTCCCTGTAGCTTCTCTTTCCCTTACAGTGGTGATTTTCTGGCTATCAGAATTGTAGTTCAAAAAAAGAAAACAGCTTTATCCCACAATAAGTAGCTATTCATTCAGAGAAGAGCCCCTGAAAATTTAGGGGTTAGAAAGTAGTCTTCATTAGGGGTACAAACCAACATCATGTACATAGTTTTTTTCAAAATATACTTGCCCAGATCTCATCCCAGGTATAACTCAGAATCTCTTATCAGTAGGATCTGAGCATGGATAGTTTGAAAAACCTCCCCCAAATGATTCTAATGTGAATCCTGACTGGGAATCACTGGGTTAGATTATATGAAGAGCTGTTAGTGGCCATTTAGGTAATCTTAGGTTTGTAGAGACCTGTGTTAATTTACTGTCATCACATAGCCTAAGTCAACAGTGGAATATGAAAGGCAATTTATTAATGACCAACTTAAAAGGTGTGGAATTGAAGTCTTGTCTCCTGTCTTTTATTTGGCTCTCTCTGCCTGTGTGTGTATGCTGGTCTGTGATTGTTATCGCCTCCCTCTTCATCTCCACTTGGTTGTGGAGAGGTGGTATGTGTGTTTCTTCCCTGAGTTTTTGTATGCTGGCACCTTCATTTCCCTCTAGCCGCTCTACCTTCCTTTTTCCCCCTTCCTCTGTGTGCTTCTCTCTTCTATTTGTTTATGTGTCTTCCTCCCCGTGTGTGTGTATGAG